CAATTTATGTAATTTTATTATAAAATATATATCTTAAGGCATTAACAGTCAATGGTCAATAAACTTAGTCAATGGAAATTTCCATTTGCTTACATCAAATTTATTCAATTTATATAATTTTATTATAATAAATATTTCTTAAGGTATTAGGATTCAACAGTCAACAAACTTGGTAAGTGGAAATTTTCGTTCACTTAAGAGGCTAAAGTATACATTTAGCCCATCATCTTAATAAATTTAAAGTTTTAGCCTTTCATCTTACGGTATGAAGTTTTTAGCCTTTAAACTTAAAAGTTTGAAAGCTTTAGTACTAAACTAACAGAATCTATTAATTTTTCGTTAAAGTGAAAATAAAATATTTACAGGATCAGTCTTCAAAGATTAAAAATGTAATAATTTAGTTTCAAAAGTTTAAAACTTAAAAAAATTAGTCAATTAAAAATAATTAGTAGATGACTTTGCCATGTTGACGAGAATAATATTAGATATTTGCAATCAAATTGAGTGATTAGCTCAATCTAAAAAAAAAAATCTGACTGAGATTAAAGAAAATTTTTCTTGACTATATTTTTCTAGTCTCTTGAACTTTCTATCTTAATTTAGCCAAGAAATTTTTTTAAATTTCAATCAAAATTCTTTTTTCAAATTGAGCTAATCACTTAATTTGATTATAGATATCTAACTCCATTCTAGTATATGTGAGAAAATCATCTATTAATTCTTTTTAGTTTACTATTTTTTAATTTTTAAACTTTTGAAATTAAATTGTTATATTTTTAATTTTTGAGGACTAATCTTATAAATATTTTATTTTTACTTTAACAGATAATTAATGGATTTTGTTAGTTTAAGGTTAAAATCTTCAAACCTTTAAATTTAAAAACTTCATAATATAAGATGAGGGGTTAAAAATTTCAAATATAATAAGATAAGGGGTTAAACAGATACTTTTAACCCAGAATTGACCGGGAACTTTTGGGTGGAATTCAGTCAACTCCCAACAAACCATGCATCAACTATTAATAATGGTACTAGATCTCCCTGTCTGAGAACCATCCACAGGATAAGGAAAAAAGATGGAGATTATTCCTGCCAAACACTTTTTTTGTATTCCCTACCTTTTCATTGTTCTTTGCTGGTTGTTCTCGGCAGAGGCTGCGGTGGCTCAAAATATTACGGCCACCGGGAAAATCTCTGTGAACGTGGGAGTGCTTCTTGACTTGGATACGTGGGTTGGGAAGTTAGGGTTGAGTTGCATTAACATGTCCCTCTCCGACTTCTATTCCAAACATAGCGACTTCAGAACCAAGCTGGATTTAAAAATAAGGGATTCTAAGGAAGACATTGTTGGAGCAGCCACCGCTGGTACGGACTCTTTATTCCTCCTTTTATTTGTCTTTTTTTTTTTTCTCTCCAAAAAAATGGCAAAATTTTTTTTATACAAATTTTTTATTGATAACAAGTTGTGAGTTTATATTACACCCAAAAAATAGAGACTTAGTAATAGTGCTTGCTTTCACATTGTTCATTAAAATTTAACATTTGGTGAAGGCTAATAATAAAAAGGCTATTTCTCAAATTTTCTACTCCTAACATGGATGACTGTTCCCATTACCTATTTTCAAAAAAAAAAAAAAAAAAACATGGATGACTTTTCTGCCTGCATCCATGACTTTCTGCCTGCATCCATACCTTACTAGCTAAAAGTTGCATATACACTAAGACTGATACTGAAATTGCAAGAAAATTCCCCTTGCAAGGAACTAACTAATTAATGTTCTAATAGAAACACCAGCAAACTAAAAGTTGGACTGCAGCAATGAACAGTAATTATATAATTTAATAATTAACCACACCAATTTGACAACAAATAGCAATAATAATTGTTTTTTTGGCCATCAACTATAGACAATGATTAAGTAACAATATCTTCCCTAATTTATCCACAACTATATATGTCCCAAGTCCTAACCTAAATCAAGCCACAATCTTATATGCACCAACATTCCCTTCTTAATTTAAAGATAACCTTGTTACACAACAGTCAACAAAAAGAAAAAGCTTTGTTACACAACAGCCAAATAGTCCCACACTATTATATGATAGTAGAAAGGAAAAAGTGCACATTAGTCTTGACTTTAAAAATAATTAGATTTTTAATTGTAAACTATATTATTTTATTTAATTAAAACTCAATTCAAAATTGAAAAAATTATCTTATTAAATGTTGATATATTAAAATATATAATGAGGTTCCAAATTTAAATATCAACATTTAATAAAATAAGATTTCAGTTTCTAAAGGTAGGTTAGACTCCAATTGTTTTTGAGAGTTGGGATTGATTCGCACTAACCTCTAGTAGAAAACAAAACATCAATCCAAATTTAATTTAAGCTTTTTCTTACTAGAGACCAAACCTTGAGTCAATATTGTTCTTTTTTTTTTGCCATCCAATATTGCTCATTATATAAAACAATGGACATTGATACAAACAATTTTTGATTTGACACACTTTATAATATATTTATTAAAAACTTATTATTTTTTTGTTTGAAATTAAAGGTAAAAAAACTTAAAACTACAAATTTTAATAATTGCACCAGTGAGTATCAACAAGTGCATTAAACTGAATGGTATACCAATTATTTTCTTAATACAATAGATGAATATATGATGTATTCTGTATATGACTTTTTCGGCATTCTTTTCTATTTAATCTGATTCTTTTCAATGGTTTGAACTTGAACTTGAAAATTAAGTTAAGAAAGTGGTTTTGAAAAGTTATTTATTTATTTATTTTTTATGAGTCTTGCGATCTCTTTAATCTAGTTTCTTTCAATTTTTTCTTACTTTGAAATAATTAAGGGAAATTTTCATATTCTATATATAAAATAGTGCATATCAATTCTAACTTCTATAAAAAAAACTTGAAGTCTCAACTTTAAATGTAGCACTCTTTAATGAATATTTTCAAAACTTACTATTTGATTCAATGTTCTATTGATATAAATCATGAATATCAATTTTCAAGTACCTAACATCTATAATCATTCAATCAAGAAACTTATATTTTCTAATTTATATTTAATGGTGATAAGTTTTCTATAATTAATGAACTAATTATATATATTTGATCAATATGAAAATTAACATTCATGACATACATGATTAGAAAACTAAATATAATGGTTGATTTTTGAAATATTTATTAGAAGATGGTGTTTTTTAAGTTGGGACTCTAAAAATTTTTTTGCAGCTCAACTCCCAAAAATTGGACTCCCAACTTTAAAAGCACTAAAAAAGAGTTTATCCACCTTACCTCCTAAAAATTAGGAGGAAAATCATTCTCAAACTAAATCATTTCAATAAACCCTCATTGAAAAAAAACTAAAATATCATATTTTTAAAACATGAGTTAGATTGCTTTTGATCTTTTCTTGTATTGCTTTATTAAAATGATATAATTTTAAAATAATTTTTTTCTTAATTTTTAAAAGGTAATATATATATATATATGAGAAATGTGTTTTACAAGTTGTCCTCTCATTTTTTTTTTCTGAGGACATATTTAAAAACTCATTTTCTAATTAATATTTTATAAACCAACCATTGAATTGAAAATTCTATTCATGTAGATCATGTATCACAATTTTTAGATTGTTCTAGTAAACCTAACAACTTTGTTAATTTAACATCGTTAAATATAGTTAATAAATAGAGTTTCTTTTATCAAAGTACTATAAGTGTTAGATCAATATAAAAATTGACATGCATAATCTACATGGATGAAACCTTTTATTTAATAGTTGGTTTTTAAAAATATTAATTAAAAGTTGGGTTTTTAAACATGTCCTCAAAAAAAAAAAAAAAAAAAAAGATGGATGACCTAGACTATACTAACCCCCATATAAATAAGTGGGCATCACTCTTGATTGTCAAAAGAAAAAATTTGGAGTCAACTCTAAAAGCACAACTCATGGTAAACATTTTGAAAAACTAACCATTGATATCAGATATTGTATTTTTTTTTTTTTTTTAACTTTAAGTTATACAATAGGAAGCAAACCTTTCTTATATCCCTTAACCAACTCTACCTATATATTATATGACTTAAACTCAAAACCTTTTGTTTTTACTTGAAGGAAATGATCACTAATTTACTTAACTCATTTGCATCAAACATTGTATTTATGTAAATCTCACATGTCAATTTTGAAATTAATCAAATGTACCAAACTATAGTTTGTTGAACACACAAAACTTAACACTGTTATATATGTTTAAAAAATAGAGTTTTCTTTGATCAATTAGTTATAGACATAAAATCACCTCAAAAATTGACATATATGACCAACATAAATAAAAGAAATTGATCCAACAGTTATTTTTTTTCTTAAATTTATTAACCAGAGGTAATATTTTAGAATTGGAACTCCAGATTTATTGGAGTATGGGCTGAAATTTTTCTTTCCCATATATATGCATCGGAAATGTGTGGGACTTGTTTTCATTCCAATTTTTTCTTTTTCTTTTTGGAGTCCCAACCTAAATGTCACTTTTTAATATATTAATTAAGTAAAAATATTATTTGTTTGATTAAATGTTCTAATTCTGTAAATCATTTTTCTACATGTAAGAGTAAAAGCTATCAAAATGAAATGGGTAATTAGAACTATGAAAAATAACCCAAGGGTTGGATCTTCCAATAAACAATTGTCAGCTTGTAAGTTAGATTGGGGTTTTAAGTCTTCAAATCAGTATGCATGAAAATTAATTTCTTTGAATACACTAGGTTTACGTGGAATTCATCAAGAAAGATTAATCTTGAGGTGCAAAAAAACACCTTGACTGTCCAAAAAAATAATAATAATAAAACATGAAATATATCGCCCTTACCAGCCAATTGTCAATCCTAACAAATGCAAACCGCAGCTTGAAAACTAACCTGAATTTTCTGAACAGCTCTAGATTTGACAAAGAATGTGCGAGTGCAAGCAATCATAGGGCCAACGAATTCAATGCAGGCAAGCTTCGTAATAGATCTTGGGAACAAATCCAAAATACCTATCATCTCCTTCTCCACAACAAGTCCTGACCTTGCTTCCGTCCGGACCCCATACTTTTTCCAAGCAACCATAAATGACTCATCTCAAGTCAAAGCCATCAGCGCCATTGTCCATGCCTTCAGATGGACGCAAGTTGTGCCCATATATGTAGATAATGAGTTTGGAAAAGGGATTATACCGTATTTATACGAAGCCTTGGAAGAGGTTGATGCACGGATTCCATACAGGAGTGTTATCTCTCCTGGGGCCACCAATGAAGAAATTGAAATAGAGTTGTATAAGGTAATGACATTGCAAATTAGAGTCTTCATTGTTCATATGGCCCCAGATCTTGGATCTCGAGTTTTTCACATAGCAAAAGAGATTGGAATGATGGGTGAAGGATGTGTTTGGATAATAACTAATGGGATGACTAATCTTTGGAGTTTGATTGATCTTTTCGATATGGATTCCATGCAGGGTGTATTAGGTTTAAGGAATTATGTTCCGAGATCAAAAGAGTTAAAAAGATTTGAGAAACGATGGAAAAAGAAATTTCTGCAAGATAATCCTGATATGGTGAATGCTAAATTGGACATTTTTGGATTTTGGGCTTATGATGCTACATTTGCACTTGCTATGGCTGTAGAGGAGGTATTTGGCACTACAAATTTCAACTTGGATGCATCAAATGTTTCTCAAAATGGTCCCAAACTCATTCAGGCTTTGTCAAGGACAAGATTTAGAGGTCTTAGTGGAGATTTTGGCTTTATTAATGGGCAACTTGAGTCCTCTGTTTTCCAAATTGTTAACTTTATTGGAAATGGTGAAAATGGGATTGGGTTCTGGACGCCAAACTATGGACTTGTTAAAAGACTAGATGTCACTAATGTAACAAGGTATTCCGTTTCCAAAGCCAATCTTGGATCCATCATATGGCCAGGGGATCACCAGTCCATTCCCAAAGGTTGGGAGATTCCAATAAGGGGAAAGAGGTTAAAGATTGGCGTGCCGGTGAAGACGGGATATACTGAATTCGTTAAGGTAACAACGGATCAGAGTACTAATTCAACTACATTCACCGGATATTGCATAGAGGTCTTCAAAGCTGTCGTGAAGGAAATGCCATACCCTATCCCCTTCGATTTCCACCCCATTAAAATAGACGAGGATGAAAGTTATAACAATCTAATCGATGAAGTCGTTTATGGGGTTAGTTACTTGCCTTTAAATTTAAGTTTATATCACTTTCTTTTAGTCTACATCCATACTTTGGATTTCTTAATTGGTTCTAAACCTTGGTTAATAGAAATATGATGCGGTGGTGGGAGACATTTCTATTGTGGCAAACAGATCATTGTTCGTTGAATTCACATTACCATTTATGGAATCCGGTGTGGTGATTGTGGTGCCCATGAGAAACGATGTAAATAAGAATGCATGGGTGTTTCTGAAGCCTTTATCACAGGATCTCTGGATCACTAGCATTTGCTTCTTTGCCTTCATGGCATTTGTTATCTGGATTCTTGAGCACAGAATCAATGAAGATTTTCGTGGACCACCATTGCATCATGTTGGAACTAGCTTTTGGTTCTCCTTTTCAACAATGGTTTTTTCCCACAGTAATGATCTTTTACATATTCAAGTTCTTTATGCTCAACTCGACTTAATTAGTTATTACCCTCCTAAATCCATGTAGAAATAAAATACAACTAATTATTCTGATTTGCATTTTCAGGGGAGAGGGTGTTAAGCAATCCAGCGAGGATTGTGGTGGTGATATGGTGCATTGTGGTATTCATTCTGACCCAGAGCTACACAGCAAGTTTAACTTCTCTTTTGACAGTTCAACAGCTACAACCAACTGTGACAGACGTAAATGAGCTGTTGAGGAAAAAGGAGAATGTTGGGTACCAGGTTGGCTCCTTTGTTCAAGAAATCGTCCAAGAGTTGAAATTTGATCCATCCCAGATTAAGACATTTAATTCAATAGAACATCTTGAAGAACTTTTTACTAAGGGAAGTGCCAATGGGGGTATCGCTGCTGCAATTGACGAAGTCCCCTGCTTGAAGTTGTTTCTTGCACAACATTGCAATAAATACACCACCTTGACGACGCCAACTTTTAAGTCCGGTGGCTTTGGATTTGTAAGTTCTTTTTTCCTCTCATCCCATCATTATATGCATTGCCCTTAATTAAGCTAGCTGATTTTTTAATATTTATTGTAATTAATAGGTCTTTCCAAAAGGTTCCCCTCTTGCAGCCGATGTTTCGAGAGCAATCCTAAAGGTCATCGAAAGTAATAGAACGTCGAAAATTGAGAACCCACTGAATAATGAAACTATATGTTCAAGCACCTTAGGTTCAGCAAATAGTCTAAGTCTTAGAAGCTTTTGGGGCCTCTTCCTCATTGCCGGGGTGGCCGGAGTTTTAGCTCTTATATACTTTGTAGCTGCGTTTCTGTATGGGCAAAGGGATGTCTTGTGCAAGCACGACACAGGAATTTCAGTGTGGAAAAGAATCCTTCAAGTATTACGAAACTTTGACCAAAGAGACCTAACCTCGCATGCCTTTGGCAACATGAATTAAGAGCTGAAGACGTCACTGAAATCAGTCGAAATTAAAGGTGCTGTTGAGAGAACCCGTTATAGCTCTTGTTGAGGCCCTTGCTGAAGACCCTAACAATATAAGTGCCTTAGCAGCATCTATAGAAATAGATATTCATCGTGCTAACACAAACAGCTCGTGAAAAAGTAGTGGACAATGCTATTTCTGTTTATAGATACTAAGGGATTTGGAGAAAAAACTTTCTGTTTAAAGATATTAAGGGATTTTGGAGAAAAAACTATGTTAGTGGTTGATTAAGTTAATAGTCTCTTTAGATTTGAAATTGTTTTCTTTTTTCCTAATCTTTAGGTTTGAAATTGAATTTAAATTCTTCCAAATCCCTTTGTGGGATTCATTTAACCCCCTAATCTTGGTTTTCTTGTAAAGTCAAATTGGGTGTAACACTTATGGAGTAACTCTCCTCCAAATTCCTCCAAATTCCTCCAAATCCCTTTGAGGGATGCATGTTATTTTGTTAAAAGCACAATACCAAAACATACACCCCTTATTAGTGAAACACTTTCAGCTTCCCAGAAGTAATTCAGTTCTCATTAAGAGTTTCTTCTCTTTTCCTAGTTTTTCTTACATTACTGTTTTACTTCTGATATCTTTACTTCTTGCTACTTGCTTCAACATGTTCACGTTTCTGCTAACTAGTTGGTTCCTTTCTTCTACCAGCTCTTTTAAACACCATTAAGTTGCCTAAGCTTCTTCAAATGTTATTTCTACTTGCAGTTTGTTTTTCTGGTATTAACTCTCTGATATCCGGAAGTTACATTAGACTCTACCTAATCTGAAATGGAGTCATGTTGGACCTTATAAGTGAGAAAGCTCTCTCAGCGCCTGTTTTTCTATTCACAATACTCAAACTCAAAAACCTGCAGTTTCTTTAACAATACAGATTGCTTGCTTTATTTCTGCCAGCACGCTTTCCTTTCTGATGGTTATACTTGAATGCAGGAAGCTTTCTAGTTAGAGGCAGCTTTACATCTACCAATTAACGACAACCTCAATTGGAAGAAGAGAATCGTCAAAAAAAAAAAAAATCCCTTCATTGCTTTCTAGTAGAAGGGAAATTGACATGCCTAAAATGTATCCACTAGTGGAGAATTTTTGACAAAACAGTAATGAATGTACATATTTATTATCATTTTTTAAATATTAATTAATGTTTTGCTACAAGAATACATATGCTAAGAAATTGCTCCATTCATGGATACAAGGTCAGACTACCTACAGAAAAAACAGACCTAAAAGAATCATAAACCAGCCTTATAACATGGTGGTTTTATTTAAAAATGGTTTTTTCTAACCTTTATCTTTAAGAGTATAATAAATATATTGATTTGTCTCAAATTTGTCTTGAAAAAACAAAAGTTAATCTTCAATTTATCAACCTTCTAATTAAATTTGTTGACTTGATAGTAATATTAAAATTAATGTAACTTTTACATTTTTCTATTTACATTAATTATGACAAAAAGATACCCTTAGTCACAAGTTCAAAAAACCCTTTAAAAATTCTTATATATAATGTATATTATTTTAATTAGTAAATAATAGAGCACACAAAACAATAAGCTAACTAAGGTGCTTTGGAGGGCTGACAAAGCTACGAGCATTGGTGGAATGAGAAGGAACATTGATGGTCTGAATGCTCTGACCTTAATAAACACTGTTGAACTTAATTAGGAGAGTAGTTGAGGAACCTACAACCATGACCATGAACTAGGGAGCACAAACACCACCAAAGGCAGATATTTAGAAGCATCGATTAATGCCAACATGCCCTAAGAATTGACCAGGAAAAATACTATGCTTGTTGGCACTAAGATCATTAACCAATGGAGAAATATACTCAGGGAGAGGTGGCAATGTGTACTGATGCTCAAAGTCCTTAGACAGCTTCAGAGCATCCTCAATGTAGACTTAAATTTCCCAGTTAATTGGCATTATCTTTCTTTTGAAAAGCATTGAAAATTTCTAAGTCAATCTCCACAAGAAACTTGCTTAGACTGAGGTCCCTAGACAATTTAATGCCTTCCATAAGAACTTTAGCTTCCACTACAAAAAAAACTGCCCTTTAACGAGAGTACATACCGCCATTAATAGCAATAATTCTAGTCATTAAAATGGAAATAACAATTGACTATTCCGTTGTGGCCCATTGTTGTATGTTTGGTGGTTAAAAGTTTTCAATGACAGGGACATTTTGCCCATTATTAAAGCTTAACACCATCTCGTCGTTAAAATTTCATGTTCATGTCCACAAAATCAATTTTTAACAAAGGTAATCCCATCATTAAACATCAGAGAAATTTTCAATTAAAAATATAGTAACCACCCACCGGTTGTTTCTAATGACAAAGATTGCCTGTCGTTAAAAGTCATTAGTATATTAACAAAATAATTCATTGAGATTATTTAACTATTGGTGGTCACGAGTTTAATGATAATATCACAAATAGAAAAGTCAAATTGCCAAAAAAAGAAATTAAATTACAGTATCTTGATTAAGAAAAAATAATATAGTAACAATACAAACCATAATTTCTCATACTAATATATATTAAAACTTTAAAAAATATTTAATCTTATATCCAAGTGTCTCTCCCAAAGTAACAATGAATGTGATACAAATTCTATCTTTGAACAAAAAGTACCAAAAGAGAGCCATAGTCATTAATCCAAATGCAAATTGATGCCCTTAAAATTTCTTCCATCTAGAAATGAAAAATGCAAAACTGCTATTAATACTTGAAAAAAACTCAAACAATGCAAAACTTGGTAAATTATGATTATTCACCTTGCTTATCTAATACTCTAATGTAACAAAATTTAGTTTTTCTAGCCTCCAGATGAATCTCCTTCTATTGGCCCCTCAACCTCTTGCAAAAACTAACATAAGACATGGAACAAAGTACTTAGACAATCTTCAAAATAAAAAATTAAACTAAGAAGATGTAGGGCCAAACAACAAATAGAGTTAAGGACACAAAATAAAGCACACATAAATGTCAAATGGCAAATTTTCAGTAACTATTAGCGTAAACTAACAAAGCAAATAGAATTAAGGACATTTGGAAACAAAAGATTATGAAATATAAAAATAACACTACTTAGCTCTAAGAGCCGGAACAAATTTGTCTTCTAGCTAGTTTTTTCACTCCAAACTTGTCTTAAATCAACTCTCCTTCCTTTTGAGTCAATTTGATTGCTAAGGCCTTTACTTGGTTATTTGAAAAATTATGACGGATCTTAGCAAATGTAAGAAATTATGGATCATTCACAGGAGATTACCTTCAATTAAAATATGCTTGCATGAGCAAGTATAGACACAAATAGCACATTCTCATTCCACTAGGCAACAAATTTTGGTTCACTCTAATGGGTAAATAATAATAATAATAATATGAAATGAGATTTATGATTCATAATTGAAATAATGGAGGAAAATATATGTTCCACAAGTGAAACAACTAACCTTCACTACCAAGAAGTTGATTGGTGTCTCGCCCCAAAATTAGAACCCTTTGGCTAAGCGGTTGTTGTAGTGTAGCTTTAGGTGTTGAATCCACAGGGAAGTTATATTAAATCAACAAAAAGAGTTGTCACAATGAGAAATTAAATTAAAAGATGAATTCTAAAATAAAGAATAAAAATATTTAAATAAAAGATGATAATTATAAAGGATTGAAAACAATATTATGATGAACAAGACTTCAGGGTTCACTTAATTGATTTGTTTAACAATTATAAATTTTGATTCCTATTTATTACTGAATTGCATGTTTCACATCCCAAACAAACAATAAGAAGATTTAACTTTGAAGACCCATAATAAAAACTAGTGTGTTTATTTTGAGAGAAATTAAACTCAATGAAGAACAAACTGATCTATCATTATGAGTTATCCAAGAGCGATAATATATCTAATCTACAATACCGCAGTAAAGGATCAACTTGCAAAACAAATCTACCAAATAATTATATTCTAACAAATTACACATAAAAAAGAGCATGACTAATCTTATATGAAACTTGATGAATATAATTTTTAAGGTTTTCGAATATGAAAAATAATTAATAATCTCTCAAAAATAAAATTAAACAATAAAATTCATGAAAGAATCAAAATAAAATAACAAGTCAAACTCCTCGATTAAGATCCTCCCTAGTCTTGTTAAGAGTTTAGCTACACTTTAACATAATTTCTAGCACTGGAAAAAAAGAAAATAAAGGTCTAGGAATTGATTCTCTAAATGCAAAACCTAGTTTTAAAGACTCCTATTTATATTAAGAATAAAATAAGAGTGTTTGGTAACTAGGATAGCAGCTTTGGGGAATTAATTTTATTTTTTTCTTTCTTCCCGCGCAGCCTTGTCGGACAGGGATTGGAACCTCAATGAGGGTGCGAAACCCCTGATGCTTTTGTTTTGTGCAACACTGTCCAGGGGTTGGAACCTGAAATAGGTTACGGAACCCCTGATGCTACTAGAAATCCTTTAGCACTGGTCACAGCAACTTCACAGACTTTGCTAACTTTGCTCTTAATCAAATATGGAGAAATTTCACTTTAGCCTTCAAAGTTCCAGATTTATCCTTGGATCCTCATCTTTTCAGCTCTTTGCATTTAAGTCCTTTTCTTCCAATTCTTCTCCATTTAACATTAAACCTTTAATCACCAAAAAATTCGTACAACATGAATAAAATGAACACTTATGAAATTACTTATAAGAAAATACAACTCTTAAGCCCATAATTCCACAAATGTCATTGGTTAAGCACACTTTAAATATACATTTTCTTTCTTTCATCACAACCCCCAACCAACTTATTGCTAGTCTCTAGCAATTCAAACGTGAATTAAGAAAGAAAGTATGCTGATTAGCTCAAATGGATATATAACAAGACTACCTAGGTATTTAGAAAAAGATCACAGTCGCTATCAAGATTACTTCAATTGTAACTTCCAAAAGTGTATGTGTGTGAACTAAGCATAACCTTCGTACCACAAACCACAACATATATAGCCTTGAGAATTAATCAGAGTAAAAGCCTCAACTCCATATCCTCATGGGTTAATAACTGTTTAATGCAAAGGATTGCTCTCATGGAGTTGGAAAGCAGCAAGTCACTCAAAGGAAAAGGGCAAACAAACATTGATTAGAAGATAGGTTAGTTAGCTATTCAAAATTCCATTACTCTTGCTATACACTAACTTCAAGATTTCAATCAATTAAATATGAGAGCAATAAAAGTAGAGCCTAGTGAGAAAAATTGTTCCCTCAAAAGAAAATTTGTCTTCTAAATTGATGGAAGACTTTATTTGGTGAAATTTTTTTTCTTTTTTTTTTTCTGTTTTCTTTTTTCATTCTGCTTTTTTTTTTTCAACTTTTTTATTTTTTTGAATCTTCTAAAACAAAGGAGGGAAAGCATAGAATTTCTAATATCACATGAACTATTCCAAAGGCTCCACATTTAATAACAATAGCTCTCTTTCTCTCTCTCT